GTTGCCCTTCTCTGGACCCTCTCCAGAAGCTCCACGTCCTTCCTATACTGGGGTGCCCAGAACTGCACACAGTAGTCCAGGTGCGGCCTCACCAGAGCTGAGBAGAGGGGCAGAATCACCTCCCTYGACCTGCTGGCAACACTCCTCCTGATGCAGGCCAGGATGCCATTGGCCTTCTTGGCCACGAGGBCACACTGCTCACTCATGGTTAACTTAGTGTCAACCAGGACTCCCAGGTCCCTCTCCGTGGAGGTGCTAATTGGCTGGAGGCCGCACAGCCGCAGCTCATGCTGGACTGCGCGGCGGGGGTTTCCTTGTTGCCCTCTGCCGCAGGTTTGCCTCCCTTGCACGTAGCTGCAGCAGCCTGGGATGGTCACCCAGGAGTCTCCTGCCCATCCGCCATCCCTGCTGGTCTGGTGCCTTGGATAACTCGGGGTATCTGGCTCGGTAGTGGCGTGTGGAGCTAATTCCCATTGCAGAACGCATCAGCTGCGCTACCACTGAGTCTGGCTCATTGCAGACGTGCTGATTTAGGCTCCCTGCTGCTTGTTGCGAGGCCGAGGGCAGTGCTGGGCCTGGCGCAGGCGCCGGGCGCGCTCGGCGCTCGCTGCGCCTGCCCGGGCTCCTTAGGAGTGCTGGGGAAAGGGCAGCGCGAGGCGCCCATCCCACACAGAGCTGCTCTGGCTTTCAGGGACGGGGGGGGTTCATTCAGACTTTTCGCAGGGCTGCGAGAGGGAAAGAGAGACAGTTGATAGCTGTCAGCAACCCCTGTTGGGAAGTTATCCATAGCTTATCCTCTCCTGGGCCGAGCAGAGGGAGCCGGCAGCAGCCCTGCGGTGCTGCCGTCTGCTCCCCTGCCAGCCAAGCCTGGCCAGCCCCACAGGCCGGGCCTAGGGCTGGAGTTGCTCCTGAGGTGCCGAAAGGGACCTGAAAGAGCTGTTCAAAGTCATTTAGCTATTTTGCTGGCCAAGCGTGTGGGTGTGGCAATAGAGGGCACCCATTAGCAGTAATTAAAAAATATTAAACAGTTAGGGAGCTGTTCCGAAGGGAGGAACCTAAGGATGCAGTTCTCCATCCCTCGTGAGAAATGCATCTTCTGCACACAGGTTAGGTTTCCAGTTCAAAGCCCTATAGGCTTAAAAAAGCCAGAAGAAGAAAAATTGGAAGCTTTGTATCTCTGTCTCCCCGTCTCATTTTCTAGCTTTGCATTTTTTTAGAAACTTTCAGGACTGGAGAAGCAGACTAACACACGAGCTACACAGGGAATGCAGGAAAATAGCAGGCCCCAAGGCTGAGGAAAAAGGATAGAACCACAACGGAAGAGGGGAATGCTGATCTGAACCATGCTGTTCCTGAGCTTAAAAAAAAAAAAAAATCAGTCATAGCTTTTTTTCAGTGGAAATTTGAGCAAGGTAGAATGTCGCTTTGAGTCACAGATCTGCCAGCAAGTTGTCCTTTTCAGTCCTCCTCTTCCACCTGAGGAGATGATTCATAAAATAGGACCTTTTGAGGGAGAAGGAAAGGAAAGGGGAGAAGGGCTCATGAAGATGGAGAATGGAGGAACTGAGGGAGAGTTCTTTCAGGTTACGTCTTCCACGACGCCTGCGCAGGTCTTGTTCTGTCAAGACACCTGTGACTTGCTGTCCTGCAGATCTGTGCTGGAAAGAAAAAGCCCTTCCTCCCTTCCGACAGCGTCTGAGTAGTTGGGCTTGGCTTATTTGTTCTTGTTCAGCATCGTATACTCTGAACCTCAAATGGATAGGAGTCTCCCTCACTGCTAGTTGTCCATTATTAAGAAAAAGCAGGAGAAGTTTTTCCCAGCAGTGACATGATGTATTTCAAATACCTGCTGACACTGAAACCCTTATGACTCAATTTCTTTCTCTAGAGAGACCATAACTCTCCAAAAGATATTGGAAGTGCCAAGTCTCTGGCTTATGTGGAAAGAAAAGCTCTCCTGGTCACCAGTGTAAGTGGTTGTGTCCTTAGGTCTCCCAGGCAGCACCCACAGCACATGGGTAGGGATGGCTGGATATGAATGTATGCTTTTGCATTTCAGCATCTCAATGTTTGTGGGTTAGAAGGGCTTCTTTTTTCCACTGAGGGATGTGCAGCTTCTAGAGAAGGTCCAGTGGAGGGCAGCAAAGATGATTAAGGGACTGGAGCATCTACCTTACGAGGAAAGACTAAGTGAGCTGGCCCCGTTTAGCCTGGAGAAGAGAAGGCTGAGAAGGGATCAGATTAATATGTATAAGTACCTGAAGGGGGAATATAGGGAGGAAGGGGCCGCATTCTTCTCAGTGGTGGGGTAATGGGTACAAGTTGCAACACAGGCAGTTCCATCTCCATGTGAGGAAGAACTTCTTTCCTGTGAGGGTGACAGAGCCCTGGCACAGGCTGCCCAGGGAGGCTGTGGAGTCTCCTTCTCTGGAGATCTTCCAAACCCGCCTGGATGTCGCCCTGTGCCCCGTGCTCTGGGTGTCCCTGCTGGAGCAGGAAGGTTGGACTGGATGATCTCTAGAGGTCCCTTCCAACCTCAACCAGTCTGTGATTCTTTCCTTTCTAAGGGAGAGTGGTTGCCTTTGGCTTCTACTAAGGAGAGGCTTTTTTTGTCTCTTCCTTAAGACTGAAGACTGTGATTTTGTGCCTGTGATTGCGCATGTCAGAATGACTTCAGTCTGCTCAGATGTGCAGTTGTTAATTTTGGTGCTGGTATTTGCCAACTTCTTAGAGACTTCTTAGAAGGAGGTGGTGACTTGCAGCATTGTCCATGAGGAGCAGCAATGAACTGGACAACACTTAACTGCTTGGACAGAGAAACTCACAGTTTTTCAGCATTGCTTCCTTTCAGCATTTGCTGTAAGGTGCTCAAGGTGCTTTTTGATCAAATACCGTCTGTATCATCTATAAGTGTGGGCAGTCTGCTATGCCACACAGCACCTGAGATGTTGCTTGAGATACAGCAGTGTTTGGGGTGGCTGTATTCACTGGACAGAGCACAAATGGGCCCAGCTGGGGCTGCTGAGCTCTTCTGAAGCAAGGAATTGGAAGGTGGAAGATGTGGGACTGACTCAAGTCATCATCCCGCAGGGCTGAGGGAGACGCAGTAATCGTGAGGTCTTAGGCCTTGGGGAACTGTAGTCCTTACCTATGGAGTCTCTTCCAGTAAAAAATAATTTTGTTCTTTTATTTAATCTGTCATTATATAGAATGCTTAAGCAAAGATGTGAATATCACTGGGATATCACTGGGTCTTTTTCATATTCCACTTGAAGCTTTTACTTAAGCTGTATACCACCTTCTGAGAACTTACCTTCTCTTTGAAGTTGACAGATATCAAATGATTTTTTTTTCTGACAGACCAGGTTAATGCCACAGTAAGAGTATATTTCCAGCACCGAAAAACATACTTTATACATCCTTTTGCTGTGCATTTAATTCCTGGCTAACAGTTGACTACCAGAAGAAATGCATGCTTGCCCCAAACTTCTCCTTCTAGCTGGCTGTTGAGCTGGTAAACCCTGCATACTGAGAAGAAGCAAGAACAAAAACCAGACAAACAGGTTACAGTTTAGAAAGGGCACTTCAGATGTGACTGGAATGTTCTCTGTTCGCAGGCTTGGAGGGGAAATGAGCCGGACGACTGGATTCCTCGCACCTACCAGGATCTGGAAGGTCTCCCTTGCATTGTCATCCTAACTGGCAAAGACCCTCTGGGAGAAACCTTCCCCAGGTGCTGTTGTGATTCTTGCAACATGGTTGTTCCCCAAAATGTTTAGATCTAAATTTTTTTTTCTGGTTAGGATACGGAGTCATAAGGATGTGACTTGCAACTGGTGACTGACACCATCTGTTTATTTTTTTCAAAAAGTCTATTTTAGAAGGACTCTCCTTGGGTATGGTTTAGAATTTTGTAAAATGCCAGTTGTGAAAAGCAAAACTTCTGCACTGTGTGGTTCCGTGAACATCTGTTCAAGGTGTCAACGAACATAAATGTGGTGGCTGTTCTTAAATAATTTTACACTTACTGGCTAATAATGTTGCTTGTGAATATCTAATAAGCTATTTAAGATAGTGTTCAGAGAAGACAAAAAGGTTTTTTTCTTGTGTTGGATTTTCTAGGTCATTGAAATACTGCGACCTTCGACTAATTGACTCAAGCTACTTAACACGGACTGCGTTAGAGCAAGAAGTAGGCCTGGCATGCTGCTATGTCTCCAAGGAAGCAATTCGAGGGCCTCTTGTAGCTCTTGACCTTAGTGAGAAGGAGCAAGAGAAGGTTAATGGTAGCGAGAATGACTCTGATGAGCTGCTGATAGACTTGGACAGACCCCAGAGTAATAGCAGTGCTGTCACTGGAACCTCAGGTCAGTTGCTTGTTCTGCTGTTGCTCTGAAGAGTCCTTGTTCATTCGTATGCTGTTGGAGTTTGAGGGCAAACATGCAGTTAGGCAAATAGGGGCAGTTGAGCTTTATCCTATTGCAGGCCTAAAATTCTAGGCATACTAAAATGCTCAGTAAGTGTAGAGGTAGCTGTGGCTAAGTGAGGATGAAGCCTTCTTGCAAAGACCAGCAGAACGCCTGGATCTAGCCTTACTTCTTTGAGCCTCAGTGGAAAAAGTTACCAGCCTTCCTGTCTTGCATTCTTCTGGTGCTTTTGGGTCCTTCCCATTGATGCCCTGTGTGTTTGCTGTGTTAAGACAGATGAATTGGGCTCTGTTATGTGCAGAGTCTTCACCAAACATTAACTTAAAGCTGGCTGATGTGCAGGAGGGAACATAGCCCAGTTCACACTAAGGTTTTGAAAGCATTCACAGCCTTAGTTGGGAAATGAATGCTTTCTTCTCCACAGCAAGGAGGGTCAAACTGATCTAATGTGGTATGTCATACTAGCCCTTCAGAAAGCAGTACTATCAAATTCCAAATCCCAGTTGGGAAATGAAAATGAATAAACACAGATTTGCTGTCATTTGCTATTGGGGCACTTGTGTTTGCACTCTGAGCACTAATTAGAAGGGCTGTTGCCTCTCCAGCAAGAAGGGCAGATGGATGTTGATGATTTCTTTTTAAATGAAATGACCTTCTGAGCTAAGCCAGGTAGTATGTTTGCCCAGCAGTTCTTGCTGAACAGAAGTGTTTGTAAGCTAGAATTGCCCCCCGCATCAGATGAGCTCGTCTTTTATTTGTATTTTCTAATGCTGGCCAGTATCTGTTCCCTGCCTGCTCCTTTGTTTCCCCAGGGTCCCTGGCTGACAACGGTGTGAGCTCCTCAAGCGCTGCGGACAAGACTCAGAAGCAAGCACCGTCGTTCAGCTTAGAGACGCTGGCCCACAGCTCCGTAGATGAGGGAGCTTGCCCTGGTTCCACAGCTGGAGATACCCTGAAGCAAGAATGTGACTCCCTGGCTAACCAGATGGCCAGCAGCACCACCTCTAAACTGTCCTCGCTGTCTTCAGTCTCCCAGGCACTGCGGTGGCCTGGCCGCTCGGGCAAGGAGGGCAAGGCCCTCCGCGCCGCCCTGCCGCGCATTGTCATCCTCTCCAAGGCCGCGTACTGCCTCCTGAGCTCACAGAAGACTGGGAATTTGCCTTCCTCCTCTTCCCTGCTGCCTCACGCTGACGTGTCGTGGCTGAGCTCCCTGAGGCCTTTGCTGCACAAGGACATGAGCAGCGAGGAGCAGTCTCTGTACTACAGGCAGTGGGCGACGGCCCGGCAGCACCACGCGGACTACAGCAACCAGGGAGAGGCGTCCGGCGCGAGGAGCTTCCACCCCAGGAGGCTCCTTTTGACAGGACCTCCACAGGTAAGAGAAGTTCCTTCCCCTTGCACGCTGAGAGGACAGGTGATGGGGACTGCTAGCAGCTCTAAGTGGGGATTATACTGCAAAGGGCCTGTGCAAAATTACAAATGGTAATGAGCTTCTGCATCAAAAATCTGTCAAACTTTGAGCTTGAATTCATGCTGGAAGTGGTAAGGAGAAAAAGTGTGATTCCGTGTCACCTTTTAGCCTAAATAAAATGCCTGTGTATGGAAACAGGCATAAAATTGCAATGAGCGTGTCACTAAAGGAGTACTTGACCACTGCCAGTCTCCCAGTATACAAAAGTGATGCAGGCTGTGGGCCGGATTTTGCTCCTACATCAATTCTGTAACCTTTCTCACCTTAATGAGAAATATTATTTCTTGTTCTGTTTTCAGGCAGAACTAGAATAGCAAAATAAACGGGAAGAGTAAATCCAAATACATTTATCTGAAATGTAACCTTCATATTAGTCTGAGCTGGGATTTTTTTTTTTTTTATCTCTGATTCAGGTGGGAAAGACTGGCTCATACTTGCAGTTCCTAAGGATTCTTTTCCGCATGCTGATCAGGTTGCTGGAAGTAGATGTTTATGACGAAGAAGAGATTAATACCAGTAAGTACTTAGTAGTCATTCTTAATATGCATTTAAAAGAGTCTCTGTTAAAAGTGACATTTTTTTTTTAGGCACACAGAAAGACTTTGTAAATTTTACCTGCCACTTCTCCTGCCCATTAATGGGTAGCTAGACTTGATGCTGATACCTGCATATATTTAAACATAGCTAAAGAAAGTGATAAATTTCATGTAGGGCTTATCTGAGAACTATTTTGGTAGCATGGAAATGAAAGTGAATACAAAAAGACCGAGTTAACATCTGCCCTTGTTATCTCTGCTTCCTAGTTTCTAAGCACCATTAGCTTCTAAACAGACAAGACAGATTTAAGAACATTCCTTTTCTGGCAGAAAGTTCAATATTGTTTGTGTTTAATTATAGATAGGTACCGAGTTCTGGTAAAACTGTCTTCTATCTCTAGCTCACTGCTCTTACACTGAGGAGAAAAGAGATGAGGGAGCCTCTTTGGGTATCTACTAGTTGGTTGGATCTCCCAGGTCCATAGCAGGACCCAGCTTTAGGAAGCACAAACCTTTTAAAGGAAATGAATCTGCTTCAGTGTGTTCTTGTGGTTTTATATTGAAAAGAACTCCCTGAAGCAGAATTCAGAGTAGCTTCCAGAAAACAGTTTTCTTGCAGCGTTGGAAAAAGACTGATTTCAATTTCTGCTCAGAAGGTGCTAATAAGTGAATTTTTTTTCTGTGGTTTGGAGCTTTGGGAACTGTAATTCTCTTGTTATTTGAACTTTGATATCTCAGAAACTCAGGATAGAACATGGAAATGTAAGAAAAGTCCAACGTCATGGGGCCTGGCCTGCTGTGATCACAGCAGCCATGTCACACCCCTGCCAGGGACGTGTGAAGCCCCATCTGAAGAGCAGCTGGAGTTTACTTGGGGTTTTTGGTTGTGGCTTTTTGCTCCCACTGCCTTTACTGCAAGGCTTTTAGAGATCCTTTTTGCGCTAATGATTGAAAATACAATTTTATTCGTCAACTCAAAGATGTTCCTTAAAAAAAAAAAAGATATTTTTTCTTTCTTCGACTTTTGCCTCTAGGGTATATTCAGGCCGCAATCTTGTATGTTTTCAGCTTTCACCTAGGTAGCCTGAGCCAGCTTAGAGACTCCTCTTCACAAACGACAGACTCTTCTTTTCTCCTCCCTGGTTTTGTAGCTGTCCTCTACACATCTGTTTTCATTTTGTCTCCCTGGAAGAGGGGTGAGCGGAACTGCATGCAGTGCTCTGCAGGGTGTTTAACCAGCCCAGAGTACATCAGCTTCTATATTTACCTGCCTCCACTGGAAGCCCCTGATTGACAGAGCCTATGTTTGCACTTGTCTTTCTTCATTCTCCCGTTTCACTGGCCCTGGTACTTAGCCTGTCCTCAGTCTCTCTGAAACTCTGTCATTTCCAACGTAGCAGCACCCAACCTGCTGTAGAAATTCTTGCTCTTGTTCCTTGACTGTGTATGTGACTCACATTTATCTTCTGATGAGTATCACCCAGTTTCTAATTCCATAGTTTTCAAGGGCATTGAGTTCTTACTGGGTGATTTTCTGTCCTTCCTCTTACTGACAATGATTGGGTTTGTGTCACCCGCAAGATTATGTTTTTAAGCCAGTAACACTAGTAAAAATAACAGGCAACATGGCTGCTGATGATCTTTAATATAACTACTAACCTCCATCTGCTGTAATGCTTTTAATGTTACATGCTGCATCTTACATTGAATCACCTTTGGTTCAGTTTACAGATCATGCACTAATGTTTTTTTTTAATTACACAAACAGTGTCTTCAAATGCTTTTCTTAAATCCAGAAGGATGAAATGCATTGCATTTCTTTTGTTTAGAAAAACAGATGTACATTAAAGAAAGTTGCACATGGCATTTCTGTGTCACATTTTACTGCATTTTTCCCTTACTTCTACATCTTTAATTATTTCCTTCCCCCTCCCCCAGCTCTGAATCCCGAGGGGAAGGCAGTGGCCCCAGGGTGCTGCAGGTGATGTGTGTGCTGTGTCCCTGCTGAAATCCGGCTCCTCTCTGATTCCATGTGTCTGGCTGCCCAGGGACCTGACACGGAGAGTGTGCTCTTTCCTCACGAGGAGCGTGTATGAAGCTTGTGGAGTTTTGCTTCCATTTTTGGATTGCAGTAATTTTCGTTTTCATACTTCGATTTTTGTTAATCCCTTGATTAACAAAAGTGAACCTCTGTTCACTTGCAGACATAATTGTCCCAATTCAGAAATAAATAAATATATATATTTTTATATATAAGTCAGTGTAACCAAACAAATTGTTCTCATGCTCTTTTCTGAGGTCTACTCCAATTTGGCCCTTGGCAAACCTCATTTCTGTCGTGCGCTTGCTGCCATGTAAGGCAGAGCTTCACTTGCCACTGAGCTGTCTCCGTTCCTCACGGACTTTGTTCATTCTTGCTCCAGTTTCTCGCACGGTCCCTGTGCGGCCCCTTCCTCCTCGCGCTCTCCCTGCCTTGGTTGGCTGCTACTTGTATTTGATGACTGCAGTTCAGAGGAACTCGAGCCTCTTTCACGGACAAGTCCCTCATTTCCCCAGTTTGGCTGTGTAACAGGCCCGCTCCCTTGGGATTTTCCATGACCACAAACCACAGGCCTGGCCTGGCAGGAGGGCCCTGCTAGGCGGAGCACAGCAGACGCCCCTCACATTGAGACGCCCCCCTCACATTGAGGCGGCCCCACATTGAGACACTTCTCAGGCTGAGGCGTCTCCCTCACGTTGAGGCATTTCCCTCACGTTGAGGCATTTCCCTCACGTTGAGGTCCCCCCCTCACGTTGAGGCACCCCCCTCACATTGAGGTGCCCCGAGCTGCCGCCGCCGTGTGCGGTTGGGTCGGTCGCTTGGGTCGGTCAGCGCGCTCTGGGCCCGGCCTTGCCCGTAGACCCAGCCCCTCGTCTGCGCCTGCCTTTCTTCTGCCAGTAGCTCTAGTTGTGCTGCTGCTTGTGTGTGTCCCGCCATGAGACTTTAAACCGAGTCACCTCATGGTAACTCAGCCTGAGGTTGTCCTCTATGGCCGGTGCTTTGCAGTGCTTTTGTGACCTGCTCTTGTTGCCTTGTTCCTCTGTTGGACCAAGGAAATTCATCAGCCATCACAACCAAGAATGTCCAAGCTCTGCCATTCCTGATAACTGTTGTTTTCCACTTGGAAACAGTACTTGGGAAGCTGTTGTTTTGAGCTGTGTATCCAAATTATCCTTTCTCTTTCCATGGAGTTCCTTTCATACAGCGATACCCTGCAATGTGTGCTTTTGTTTTTAATCTTTCAATCTTTATCTTTTAGTATCTGGACATAGCTTTCAGTGTGCTTCTAACCATGATGGCTCAGCCATGTTAGGTCTCTAGAGTTCAAGCTAGTGTTCAGCTTTGTGTGTTGTTCCAGTAATTGGAGTTTTCCCATTCTGAAACCCAGGGTCCTGGTTGTACTGTAGCAAATATTTCAGTTCCCATCTTCTGATGGGGGTGGGTCTTTCCCCATCTTTTTCCTATACTCAATATTCATTTCCTATATTCCTAGTTCATAATTTTTTTCCCCTTTTCCCTTTCTTTTCTCTTTTTCCTTGCTTTCCTCATTCTCCTCTGAGTTACTTCTGCTTCTCAATTCGTTTCCTACATTCCTAGTCCATAATTTTTCCCTTTTCCCTTTCCTTTCTCTTTCTGCCTGCTTTCCTCATTCTCCTCTGAGTTACTTATACTTCTCATTTACTCATTGTTTTTCCTTCTCTGTACTAAAAAAGGAGCCACAGAGAAATTGGAGACTTACTGTATCTTCTGCACAGATAGAGCTGTTCATTTTAGCACTTTATGTATAAACTAGAGTGAATTATACCTCAGCAACCTGGTGAGGAGCTATTTATGAGAACCTCTCCACCTCCACACATCTCCCATTGGTTTGCTGTTGGTTTGAAATAGTTGTGTGTGAGTTGTTACCTCAATTTTGATTAATATTTATGACATTCAAAAGCATCTCTTTTAGTGTGTGTGCACCTATGAGTTCTTGTGCAATTGTAAATAAGCAAACATAATGTTAAAACCTTTCAGTGGGTGGCCAGTACTGTCTGATATTGAAGTGTGTTGTTCCAGATCATACAGAAAGCAATGAAATTACTCAGCCCAGCAATGACCATTGGCCGGATATTGAGATCTTCAGTAAAATGTCCTTTGATGTGAGTGTGCACGACCCCAAGTACAGAAGTATAAGTCCAGTATACACAGAACAACTGTCAAGAGTGAAACAAGGTCAGTAGAAAATGTGGAGTTTTGTGGGATACTTTCCTGAAAAGAATCAGAGTGCTTGATCGGTTTGTTTGAACCTGTGTTCTCACAAGAGCCCGAAATCTCCAAAATGTTATGGAACAAAACGATTTGTGTGTTCTTTACAGCTGCTACCAGGACTGCAGCATCTTAGAAGCAGAGTATTGCCACAGTCTCTATTTTGAGCACTTGTAAAATTTTTGTTACTTTTCTTTGTACACAGAAACAAGCAAAGAAACAAAATCCGAGGAACCTAGGAAAAGAGAGACAGTGTCCATGATGCTGACAAAATATGCTGCTTACAATACCTTCCATCACTGTGAGCAGTGCCACCAGTATATGGATATTAATCCTGCAGCACAGGTTGGTGTCATGGCCCACGTGTTAACTGCATCCTTGCTGTTTCTGTGGTCTCTCCAGACACATTGCTTTGGTCTCGGGACTCCTGTTTTCATCATCCCTGAGTTGTGGAGGTTTAATGCTTCCATTCTCAGGGAAGATGTTGAGCCAGACCTGGCAGTATCAGCTGTGTCTGTTGCACTCTGCATATGCAGTTCACCCCTTCAGCTGCCTCCAAAAAGGGTGAATATTGGGGCTAGTTGTCTCAAGCCCCAGCACTGCTCAGCTTCCCCAGCAGCCTGTCGTGAGAGAGACTAACAGAGATGCTTGTCTTACGTGAACCCCAGCCATCAGCATCTGTGCTGGGAGTCTGGAAGCTCCTTTGCTTCTGTCCATGCTTTTCCACCAGGAGCTTATGAGCCACTGGATGGGAGGGGTCACTTCTAATAATCCTTTTGATCTTGTGAACTCCCCAAGAGGTAGTTATGCTCACAGAAGGCTGGCAGGTAATATTTTTCCTGGTTAATAGCTCAGATTTTGGTGGTTTCTTAACCACCAAAAATTATTTACTTGGGGTTTTGTTATCTCAAAGCTTTCTCTCCTTGCTTGCTGTTAACCTAACGCAGCACAGACAGACTGACCTGCAAATGCGCAAGGTCACTTTTATGGAACAGCACCAGCAGGTCTGATTGAAACCTCGTTCTTCATGAAGTGTCTTGACAGAAGCAAATGCTCCCAAAGGATGTCTGTTGTTCCCTGCACTCATCTTTGTGCATCTGGTCAAATGGGATGATTGTGTGCGTAACTGCTATTAATACCTCTGAATATCTAAATATTTGTTACATCTAAGTGTGAATTCTGCACGTACAATTAGGATAATTAAACACTGAGGTATTACACGCATGAGGAGGAGTCATTGGTGAGCAACCATTATGAAGGGAGAGAGCTTCTTAAAACTCTTTAACAGGACTTAGCTAAAACTCTTCTCATTTTTCATCTCTACGTAGGCCAATTATTTCCATCTCTAGTAAAGATGAGAGAGGTGAGTGCTCAGAGGAATTGCTTTGCCCTTGAGGTAGATGCCATGCTTCTGTAGGATGGAATTTTACATACAATTTGTAGGTATTTCCTACACATTTACACAGCTTAGTGAGGTGCCATGAAAACTCAAGTTCACCTAAATATACTTGACTATCTGGCTGCTTAAAAATCGAGTATTGTCCCAGGAGAATACCATACTGAGGGGGCTGTGCTGCTGCTGGAGTCTCTGAATGACAAACCTCTGCGCTGGTCTCTGAATGTTCTGAGCAAATTTGTTTGGACAGTGCTTTCTAGAAGTTGTATTTTGCACTTGTAAATATTGAAAAATATTTTTCAAGTCAAAGGGATTGTTTCTGACAGAGAAAGTTGGTTGTTTCAAAAGCGAGACAAGGTATATACCTAAGCAATATGGCTGGTGGCAAAGGCAAATGGGAATATAATAAAGTTAACTTTATTAATTATATACTCCTGAGAGTACTTTAGATGTTTTCCTCTGGTGGCTGCATATGACATGCAGGAGTAGGCTGCCCTGTATCTCATATGGACTCGTAGCTTTTAAAACTTTCTCCCCCTTTTTCTTGTGCAGGTATCTGACTCCACCCTGCACGCGTTCACGTTTTCATCCTCCATGCTAGGAGAAGAGGTTCAACTGCATTTCATAATCCCCAAGTCCAAAGAGAACCATTTTGTCTTCAGCAAGCAAGGAAAGCACCTAGAAAGCATGCGTCTGCCTCTCGTGTCTGACAAGGTGGGTCTGGCCTCCCCGCTCCTTGGCTGCCTGCCTGGGCTGCATTCAGTCAGCTTGATGTACATTTGAAAATCAGGGGTGGATTGGGTTTTTTTTTGCCCATTTTTCTTCTTTATTTTTTTTTTTAAGCGCGTTATATGATATCTTTTTTCTTTTTTTCATCTGGCTTCCCTTAGAACTGGAGTTTTGGAGGAAAAACCTCTCTTTTTGAATTCCCGGTCCAGTGTGTATGTGTTGCAGTCTTATAATGCAACCTCAGTAATAAAAATAATAAAAAAAAGTCAATAAATAAAAATTCATATCAGGAATAACATAACATTTTTTACCCAATGATGGCGAAGTATCTTCTGTCCCAGCAGAATCTGAATGCAGTCAAGAGTCCTATCTTCACTCCATCGAGTGGTCGTCACGAGCACGGCCTCCTGAACCTCTACCATGCCATGGAAGGCATCAGCCACCTTCACCTGCTGGTGGTCAAGGAGTATGAAATGCCCCTGTACCGTAAATACTGGCCCAACCACATCATGCTCGTCCTGCCAGGCATGTTCAACAACGCTGGCATTGGTAAGAGACACCATCGATGCACTGCTCTGAAAGGAGCAAAAAAAACCCAAGTCTTTTGTGCCCTGTTCACTTCTTAGTCCTGCTGCCTGAATATTCGTTTCATGTATTTTGCTTGTGATTTTTCAAATTACAACTTTTCTAGTTAGCTAAGGTTAAATACTCACTGCAGAATACTAAGGGCTTTAGCTTTGAACTTCAATCTCGTTCTTCATTTTCTGAGTTTCTTCCTGGAAGAGGCTTTAAGCATCTTCAGTTTTAGGAGCTCAGCCCATTCTTGGCTCCAGCTATTCCTTAATGCTCCCAAATAATCTTCTGTAGAGTCTCTTAAGAGGTCTGTTTTTCTTGGAACCTGCTGTGTAGAATATGCTCACACAGAAAAAGGGACACATTGACTTCTTTTTAAACAAAAAGCACTAAGTTCATAAAAGGCAATGATTGCAGTGTTCACAGAGCCTTTCTCCGGGGTACTTAGTAGATTCCTTAATTTCCAATGTGCTTGAGATTTTTCTCAGAACACCTCTCCTCACTCTTTCAGGACGACCAGAATGGGAGGCTTTGTTCTTCAGTCACAGGCCAGGGAAGGGAAGAGGGAGTGATAAAGTCTAGTGTAAAGATCGTCGTACATTTTCTATATGGTGTTTTCTCAGGTGCTGCCAGGTTTCTTATTAAGGAACTTTCCTACCACAATCTAGAGCTGGAACGAAACCGCTTGGAGGAACTGGGAGTGAAGCGCCAGTGTGTGTGGCCCTTCATCGTGGTCATGGACGACTCCTGTGTGCTGTGGAACATGCACAGTGTCCATGAACAGTCCAGGTGAGTGACCTCCAGCGCTGGGAGGCCCACGCTGACCTGTCACAGGTGGCAACACTGCTCCAGTGACATGGGCCCCTCTGCAGCAGTGGATGAAGGATGAGACCCCTGGAGCAGCCCAGCGCCGGGATGCCAGGGATGTGCTCTAAGTAGCACTAAGCCAGAACTGTCCATCAAGTCCTGCCAGTGCTCATCGTTTCCTGTAACTTGCATTTAGTGCCTGTGTGGAACAGTTTCTCGATGCTTCACTTCCCTGATGGATGTTTCTCAAGGAAAACAGTTTGAGAACTCTAGCTTTTTGGAGGCATTTAGCTGTTGCTCCTCTCAGTGTTCTCCTGGGCTGTCACTTACAGAAATGAAAAAAAGCCTTCCAGAATTGGTGCCTATGGGGATCCCTTTTCTGTAATTTGTTATATAAGACCTAATTTTGCTTAAATGCCCATTTTCTTAGGGGCTGAATAGGTTGGTGGTAGCGATAGGATTAACAGGCCATAAGTTCTGCAGTTGTTTAAAAAACTGTGTACTACAGGTGGTAACATGTATATTTTTACAGCATCTAGAGTCTTGATGGGTAATGAGTTTCCTTGGTCTTGTACCTATAGATATATCTATGTATATATGTATGTGTGACTGCATAGTGTATGCTGTATAACAAGAGCAAGCCCAACTGGTGTGTTGTGTGTGATTGCATCCTGCAGTCAGCCCCTGGAGCCTGACGGCTCCAGTAAGAACGTGTCTCTGAAGAGCATCCTCCAGCACATTGAAGCCACCCCCAAAATTGTCCATTATGCCATCCTGGGTGTTCAGAAGTGGAACAGCAAGCTGAATGCCAGGAGAGCAAGCGCTCCGTTCTCCAGGTGCCACGTGCATGACTTCATCCTGCTCAACATAGACCTGACCCAGAACGTGCAATATGATCTAAACAGGTAGGTGAAACAGGCTGGGGCTGAAATATGAATGATGGTGTGATGAAATATGAATGATGGTGTGCTCATCATCATACTTCTAAATGCTTTTGAGGGGAATAGGATGAGAGTGTCCAATGTATGAGCACATGGCCAGGGGAATAAGCACAGGGTGACATATGCTGCCCTGGGACAAATACGACCAAACATGAGCTCAGCCAGGAGTGCTGGCTGAATCCTCACCCTGCTCCTGCTGCAGCTGATCACACCGAGAGCAGAAGGTCTCCTCTGCATCTCTCCAAAATACAACATTGCATGCCAGGAGGGGAAAAAAACACCAAAAATAAAGACAGGAATTAAGTTTTGTTGTCAGGATCAGCAGCTGTTTGTTGAGTAGCTAGGGCAGGATCTGTGTCACATGTTGTCGTGAGTAAGAATTAAACCTGCTCTTTCAGGTAGTTGTCCAGGCCTTCTCTGCAGGGAAAAGACCGGTGCTTGTGTCTCTTTTGGCCATGGTTTAGGGAGACTAGATGGTAACTCAGGTTATTGTGAGATAAAAGTATTAAAAAAAGAAAAAGAGGGAGCAGGAGAGGAATAGAAAAGAGAAGAAACGATTGTTGCCAGCACAGGAGGAGGCTGCCCAAATTTTGTATTGGGAAGAAACGTATACACATGCAGAGAAGTGGATTTGTTTCATCTTAAAATCATCTGCAGGTGCTTTCCTGCACCAGGAGCATGTTGTAGAAGTGGATGTTAATAACTGCAGGGAATGTGCATAGGAACCGTATCCGATTGCCTGTAAAAATCAACGCTCGGACAGTTCTGATGCATTTTAGCAGCCTGTGTGTGGAGGTTTGGTTCTTCAGGGCAGCAACACAGCTAGTTTAGTGATTCTGTGTTTAACGTCCAGGTATTTCTGTGAAGACATAGACTTTAATCTGAGGACAAACAGCAGCGGCCTCCTCATCTGCCGCTTCAACAACTTCAGCGTCATGAAGAAGCACATTCAGGTCGGAGGACAAAAGGACTTTGTGGTTAAGCCAAAAATCACGGTGAGTCTGTAGGTAAAGGGAAAGATCAGGACCTGTTTCCTGTAGAAATATTGAATTTTCTGCCCCTTTAGATATGCTTCACATCTAACTTCCATGGCCTAATGCATGGTAGGGCTGGAAGCCCACAAGTAGAAAGCAGTAGGATGTTTGGCTGATTATGCATTATTAACAGCAGCCCTCCTACTCTGTCAGAAGGCAGATGGGGATGGAGGGAGCTGTGCACGGATGTGCCTGGTGGAGGGGGCACGTGCAGGCGCCCGCTCCCCACCGCAGCAGGCAGGTTGCCCCACACCTGGGCTTCGTGTCGCGTTCGGCGCCAGCACCTGCTGGTTTGTGGTGCGTTCAGTCCTTGTGCCCAGGGACGGGAAAGAGACCTGAGCAAAGGCACTGAGAAGAGGAACCCCTGGAATTCTGAGAACTTAGCAAAACCCCGTGGGGATTCTGGCTGTTTTCTACGGCACGCGTTACACCGGCACCCTCTTAACTGTTCTGTCCTTAAATGGAAGTAAGTGTCAAAGCGTTGGCTTCACTTCAGTAAAGCAGGTGCTGTTCCTGGTAGTTTTAAACCCCGCCCACTCCATCTCTGCTTTAAAGACTTGTCTCTGTATTTCAGAGTATGTCAGTGCCAGATGGGAGTATTTTGGGAGGCCGTCTTCATTGTCTCTGCAATGTCCTTTTCTTGTGGAATTGGTATGAATGCCGGGATACACGATAAAATCCCTCGGCAGAAAGGGTTTTTTTGCATCAATTAAATAAGGATTTAATTTCTTTTCCTACATGGGAGTAAGAAAGGATGATGGCTGTTTCATTAATGTAAACAAGAAAGTTGACATGAAGGTTTTTTTACATTAAGTTTTTCCTTAGAAGCCGAGACACCCAAAGGGGCCCCTCGCACCCGCAGAACAAGCAGCTCCGTGTTTTCCACGTGGTGCTGGCGTGTTAAAGCCCAGGGGGTGGTTTTGCCCCCCCTGCCCCGTTGCCCCATGCGCGCGGTGCTGCCCCCCGGCCTGCAGCGGCGGGAGGGCTCGAGGGGGCCCCTCTTGTCGCCCGCAGGTCGCGGAGGCGCCGGCGCCCGTGGCGCCCCTGCAGTTCGTGTGCGCCCCGGACAGCGAGCACACGCTGCTCGCGGCGCCCGCGCAGTTCCTGCTCGAGAAGTTCCTCCAGCACGCCACCTACAAGCTCTTCCCCAAGGCCGTGCGCAACTTCAGGAACCCCGTGCTGGCCGTGGACTGCTACCTCAACGTCGGGCTCGAGGTACGAGGCGGCCGCGGGGCGAGCGGGGGCCGCTGCGCGCAGCCCCTTCAGCCCCGGGCCCCGGGAAGTGCCCCGGGCGCCGCGGTGGGCTTTGACACCGCAGTGTTGGAGCCAGGCGACAGGCGCCCCCAGCCAGACTCCCAGCCCTCCAGGCTGCTGCAGTCACCCCGCAGGACAAGCCCTGTGCAGACCCCAAACCAAGGGATGAGGTTGATAACCGGCCCCAGCCTAAACGATGCCCACGCTCACGAATCAAGGAGAGCGGCACCCCTGAAACCCAGCCTGACAGCAAAGCAGCCACACAGCCCCCGGAGTTCAGAACTCCACAAAACCCACTGCAGTCACAACACCAGGCACAGGTTGGCAGCAAACTCACCATTACAACCTAAACACACCCGCCTCCCAAGCCCCGGGAGACGGCCCAGCTCACAACATAGACCGGACTCCCTTCTCCCAAATAAGCCAAAAACAGAACGAGAGAGGCAAGTGTGACCTGAACCCGGCATCCATCCCTGCCCGACAGCAGCCCCCCACCACAGCGAGCGTTTCACACCCTGACCACCAGGCAGCAGCAAGGGCCTCGCTAGGCCTGTCCTTATCGCCGGGCAGCAGGACGGGCCTCGCTAGGCCGGCCCTGAGCGGGCGCTCTCGCCCTCGCTGTGCTGCAGGTGGCCGTTTGCTACGTGAGCTCGCGGCCGCACTCGGTGAACGGCGCCTGCGAGGGGCTGCTCTTCAGCGGCCTCCTGCTCTACCTGTGCGACTCCTTCGTGGGGCCCGAGCTGCTCCGGCGCTTCCGCTTCCTCAAAGGTACCGGGGTGCCCTGCGCCCCCGCCGGGGGCCGCGCGGGGGGCGGGCGGCTCGTGACACATAATAATAATAACACAGTTAAGTAACAAGTACAGTAGCTCCCTTCTCAGGGTTAGTGCTGCTGAGTAGATGGGTTGTTATTTTGGAGTGTATCAAAACTTGTGCCCCTGCTAGCAGTAAGGGCACCTAAGCTTTGATAAACGTCACTCATTAAGTTGTGCTAAATTAACACTGAATGCAAGTCAGTGCAGGAGGAGGAGGGTAGATGGAAATGGGTCAGTGAATGGCGGCATCGCAGTGGTGGCCGGTGATAGGACCAGGGGTAATGGGTGAACAAGTTGAAACGCGGGCAGTTCCATCTCCATGTGAGGAGGAACTTCTTTCCTGGGAGGGTGCCAGAGCCCTGGCACAGGCTGCCCAGGGAGGCTGTGGGGTCTCCCAAACCCACCTGGATGCCGCCCTGTGCCCCGTGCTCTGGGTGTCCCTGCTGGAGCAGGGGCTGGACTGGCTGATCCTAGAGGTCCCTGCAGCCCCAGCCCTGCCGTGAACAGCCTGCGCGGCAGCTCCGTGCGCTGCCGTCCCCGCTGGGGCGCCGGGCCCGGCCGGGCGGGCAGCAGAGCCCTGTGGGGCTCGTGGGGCGGCTGCTCCCCCGGGCGCGCGGGGCTCATCCCCGTGGGGCCGGGCAAACCTGCGCAGAGCCCCGCGCGGCTGCGTCCCTGCAGCGCCCGCGAGGGGCTGCCGGCTGCAGGCGCCGGGGCCTGGGGCTGTGGGGAAGTGCCCGAGCTGCCCCCTGCGCGTGGGGCGGCGGCCGAGGCCCCGTGGGGAGGGGACGGGGTGGCCTGGCCCGAGCTGGTGGTGGAGCCGGTGTTTGCCTGGGCTGGTGCGGGAAGCGGCGGCCGCCTGAGGGGCCCGGCCCCTGCGCTCCAGTGGGGCTGAACTGGAGGGAGGCACCGGGCATGGGGCCCAGCTCTCCTCCCTAAGCGGGGCTGGAGCTGTTGCTCAGGGAGGGCTTTGGCCTAACCTGGCTGAACAGGGACCTTCTACCAGAGCAAGGGCTGAGGGAGATACTCGGGGGAATAAGAAGCCAGCCTTGATTCCAGCAGCAGGACCTGATCCTGAGGTTCTTGGATCCAAGTTAATCCCACGCCTGCTCTGGCTGATGCTGCTCTAGCCGGGCGGGCTCTGGCGGTTTCCTTTGCACTGAGGAAGGTGTCAGCAGCACCCGGCCGAGCCGGGGCGGGTCCTGGTCGGGGGTGGGTTCTGGGGGGCGGGTTCTGGCAGCCGGTGCCCATTGGGTGCCGTTGGGTGCCGTTGGGTGCCGTTGGGTGCCCATTGGGTGCCGTTGGGTGCCGTTGGGTGCCGGTTGGGTGGTGCTGAGTGCCGCCGTGCCCCCACGCAGGCGCCACGCTGTGCGTGGTGTGCCAGGACCGCAGCTCCCTGCGGCAGACCATCGTGCGCCTGGAGCTGGAGGACGAGTGGCAGTTCCGCCTGCGCGACGAGTTCCAGACGGCCAACAGCGGCGACGAGCGGCCCCTCTACTTCCTCACCGGGCGCCACATCTAGCCCCGCGCGCCCAGCGGCGCGCCCGGCGGGAGAAGGCGGGGAGGAACTGCCTTTGCTAACGAAAACCCAAGTACAATCACTGCGGAGCGAAGTGCAACCAGTATTTATCGAGACTGCGCTGAAGGATTCCCGACGTGCTGAAGTAGCCTTTAATCCTAGGGAAAAGAACCAAAAACCCCACGTCTGTTATAATTTAAAGCACCAAGCTGCACTCAAGCCCGTCGCAATCGATGACACTGATCACACAGCCAACCAAGTTGTAGGGTATAGCAAGAGAAGATGACTTGGTTGAAGATTTTTTATATATATATATATAAATAAATATATATATTCAGCTGAGCTAGGGGAAGAAGCTGCTTGTGGCGTCCGCTGGCTGGCATGTGCTCTGAGACTGGGCACAGGGAAGTGCTGAAGCCGTGGGGAGGGGCGCGCGGGTCGCTCTCGCGCTCTGTACGCCCGTGCAGCAGCACTCGGGGCTGGCAGGGCGCGAGGCGCGAGCTGTGTGTGGCGAAGGGGCAGTCCTGGCCTCTGCGCGGCGGTCGCTGGCCGTGTGTCACCGGGTGCGTGTGTTGGGACCGGCTTTGGCGGGATTGCCACAGGTTCACCCCGTGAGGCTCGTGCAGGAACCGGCATTTACCCCTTGGAAATGCAATGAGAACAGGTAAGGAGAGGGCTCTTTACTTGACCCGCAGAGAAGGACCTGCCAAAGCTGCATTATTTTTTAAAGTGTTAATTGAGCAACCTTTTTTTTTTTTTTTTTTAATCATGTGAAGAGATGTTTACAAATGAGAAACATAATATATTAGAGTGAGGCTAAAGGAAACTGGTTTGCAGGCGTCTGTGTTAATGTAGCTGAATTCCAATGCTGTACATTCAGCAACTTTCCACGGAAGCCCTTTCTTTAGATGTGTTTTCTTTCCTTCAGAAACAACCTGCCTTATCGAGTCCAGCCCTTGGCAGAAGTAGGGATGTAAGAGATGCTTCTCCAAACTTGTCATACGGACCTGAATGTATTCCAGTATTTCTGGTTTTGCCAGAAGGACTTAAGGTTGACCCGGGGTTTGAGTTTGGTGTAGAGGTTCCAGGTATGAACATAGGGTTCGACAGCCGGGTTCCCTTTTGTCCCCGTGTTTGATGTTTGCACTAAGTTCTTGAAATTCCAGGTGCTGAGACTACTGGGATGCGCTGGCGCCGCGCGGGGCGGCCGTGCGCCTTGCCCTAGAGCTGGGCCTTACAGCACACGGTGGCGGCCTGGCCTTGCCCTGCCCGGCCACGCTGCCTCCCCGTGCCCAGGCCGGGGCAGTGGGCAAAGCCGGTTCGAAACGGAAAACCGAGCTCAAAACTGCAGCTCGCGGCTGGGAATTCCTGGGAAGGAGGCCCCGGGCTGGGCAACTGCAGTCTTTGACGACTAGAGCATTCCTGCTATTCCATTTTGACTTTAAGCCTCGCCCTCAAGGCCCTTCTTATGAATGTATTACATTGGCCAGCATTATATTTTGCCTAGAGATGTTATTGTCTATTCACAGGTTGAATTTGAATGTAAACTTAAGATTTAAAGAATCATATTCAGATGCTTTTTTTGCTTAACTTATGTAATTGCCTTTTTTTTTTTTTTTTTTTTTT